CCCCCCAGGGCTGGAGTGTGTGTGTGTGTGTGTAATTATGCATCACACTCCCCAGGGCTGGAGTGTATGTGTATGTGTGTGATTATGCATCACACTCCCCAGGGCTGGAGTGTGTGTGTGTGTGTGTGTGATTATGCATCACACCCCCCAGGGCTGGAGTGTGTGTGTGTGTGTGTGTGTGATTATGCATCACACCCCCCAGGGCTGGAGTGTGTGTGTGTGTGTGTGATTATGCATCACACTCCCCAGGGCTGGAGTGTGTGTGTGTGTGTGTGTGTGTGTGTGATTATGCATCACACTCCCCAGGGCTGGAGTGTGTGTGTTGGAGACAAGAGTCTTGCTATGTTGCCCAGGCTGGCATCGAACTTGCCATCCTCTCGCTTACTAGTGTCGGGATTACAGATTTGCCCCACCATGCCCGCTTTGTACAGTCCTCTCTGACCCTTCTGAACGTGATAGGACTCTTTTACTGCCATACAGGTGTGAAAAACTTTTCTAGTTAACGCGGTGGTTACTATGTGTGCTGGCAGATTACGTGTTGTCCACATCGTGGTTTACATCCTGCTTACAGGTGTTGTCCACTTCTGACATCTGAAGTAGTAGGCCTTGCTATCCTCATTTTTTTTTTTTTTCCAAACTGGGAAATTGAAGCCCTCAAAATACAGCATGACTTGGTTCGAGGCCAGTTTCCTACTCTACCTTACAAAGCATCGGGTTAGCCTCCACAAGATGAATTCTTTCAGGGTTGGAGATACTGTTGGGTTAGGGCTGTCAAGGAACCTTCCCTCTTCTCTTCGTTCCTTGTCTACAGTTCATATTGATATTTGGAGATTGATTATCTGGTACCCTCCCCACCCCCATACTGGGGTTTTAACTCTGGGCCTTGAACTTGCTCAGGTTGTGCTCTATCACTTGAGCCACCAACCTGACATTTTGTTGTTTTTACTAGCTAACTGGAGTAGGAATTGCTCAGACTCTTTTTTTGCCTAGGTTGGCTTTAGCCAAAATCATCCAGTTCTCAGCCTTTGGAGTAGCTAGAAATACAAGCTTGAGCCATCAACCAGTGCCAGGCTTTACATGGTACTGGTACTGGAACAAGACAAAGGGTGTTGGATTTAGTGTCAGGTCGCTTAGCATCTATATTCTCACCTAAAAGGTCATTTGAAGTCACCTCCGAAATCCTCTACTTTTTTCTGTACTTTAGTTATGTGTGTGTGTGTGTGTGTGTGTGTGTGTTTTGTTTTCTTTTGGGTCCGGTCCTGGGCCTGAACTCTGGGCCTGGGCGCTGTCCCTCAGCTCTTCAGCTCAAGGCTAGCACTCTACTACTTGATCCACAGCGCCACTTCTGGCTTTTTTTTTCTGCTTATGTGGTGCTGAGGAATTGAACCCAGGGCCTCATGCATGCAAGGCAAGTGCTCTACTACTGAGCCACCTTCCCAGCCCACTGTGTGATTTTTTTTTATATTGACCTCCAGTTGTTTTATGTATTTGTCAGGCTTATTCAGAGAAGTTGGGCAATGCTACCTGTTAGGCCAGGGATTCATTACTTTTAAGTCGTTGTAGAACATAGCTGACTTACATTAGAAAGGTTTAAAGGTCTGTGTATTACAAGAAAAGAACAGTGTATCTATATTAAAATGTACAGTAGTAGAAAGTCATATGTTTGATTCCTTGAATTTTTTTTGGGGGGGGTACTGGGGTTGAACTCAGGGTGTCTTGCTAAGCCAGGCAGTGGTTCTACCACTGGAATCACACCTCCAGCCCTGAAAGTCATATATTTGAACACTGGTTTAAGTCATTCTTTCCAGTTTGTCATGCTTCATTATCAAGAACTCACTAGCAAGCCTGTGGAGCCAAAACTAGCATGTTTCAGACTGTTTAGCTTAGTTTTAAGGTTAAGGCTCCTTACCAGGATGCTAAGTAAAGCTTAATATACACATTAACCTGCTAGGGCAAAGGATCTTGGGTTAATATCTGTTTGCCACGAGACACACATGAGCCATTCACTTTTCATTCTTAACTTCCAGTAAACTGGCTCTTCCTGGTATTTTGGATAAAGGTAGTCTCTGGATGAATACTTCAAGGCTATTCTATCGCGATTCTCACATTGTTTCCATCAAAATGGAGCTAGTACATACACGGCAAACAGGTTTTCCGTTTCTGCTATTCCACAGGCTAGTGTCACCTCAGAGTGCAGGTCTGCAGTCATGTATCCACACAAGTGCTTCTCTTGGCATTTACCGGAAATGGGAGAAGAAGAATAAAATTGTTTACCCTCCACAGCTGCCTGGAGAGCCTCGGAGACCAGCAGTAGGTTTGTGGGTAGAACTGACCCCTTAATTTTGGCAAGGGCTCGTATTTATTTATCTTTTTAGCTTTTCTTTACTTTTTGGGGTTTTATTTTTTTTAAGGGGGGAGGGTTACTGTTCTTCAGCTTTTCTGCTCAAGGCTAGAGCTCTTACCACCTGAGCCATACAGCTCCAGTCTCAATTGCTACAACTTTAAACAGAACGTAAAGTCTAATCAGCTTGTTTATTTGTTTATTTATTTTGGAGTTTGTCGTGGGGCCTGAACTCTGAGCCTGGGTACTGTCCCTGAGTTTTCAGCTCAAGGCACGCACTCTACTACTTGAGCCACAGAGCCACTTCAGTTTTGTGGTGGTTTATTGGAGATAAAGTGTCTCATAGACTTTCCCTTCTGGGCTGGCTTTGAACCATGATCCTCAGATCTTATCCTCCTTAGTAGCTAGGATTACAGGCGTGAGCCACTGGCACCCAGCTCAGCTAATTGTTTTTAAGGTTCTTTCTTCTAAATTTTTTTACTATTCCTGTGGATAGAAATGTTGCACCTGTTGGCACAAATTAGCTGTTTCATGGTTTCTGTTTCTTCCTTAGTAAACTTATAGTAAGACTTAAAAATAAATAAAACGTCATTGAGGTTGGAGATGTGACTCAGATGGTAACGTGCTAGCCAATGAGCGAAAGAAAGCATCACATAATGAGATTGAGTCCCAGTCTTGGATTAACAAACCAAACAAAAGAAAAGCAACAAAAAACTCACAACTTTGTCAGGGAAAAAAAGTCTCCAAATATTTCATAGTGTTTTTATTTTATGTGGGAGCATTTTCATTAGGAATTTTGGTAAGCTTACTAAAGTTGGCTTGTTTTTCTTTTCCCATCCTTTTTGCTTTAAGGAAATCTACCACTGTCGAAGACAAATTAAATACAGTAAAGACAAGATGTGGTATCTGGCAAAATTGGTAAGCTAGAATGATTTATTATATAATTCTAAGAAAAATTATAAATTGTACCAGTATTTAAACTATGAAAGCTATTTTCCCATTCCCCCCCAAAGTGGAGCATGTAATTATATATGTTCAAATAATTAGTAGGTTATCAAAATATTATTTTCCAATACAAATATGATTTTGCTTTTTTTTGGCCTATGCACTGTTCATGAGCTTCTTTTGCTCAAGGTTAATTTAGTGCTCTACCACTGAGTCACAGCGCCACTTCCAGCTTTTTCTGTGTATGTATTACTGAGGAATGGAACCCAGGGCTTCATGCATGCTAATCAAGCCATATTCCTAGCCCTCTCACTTTCTTTTTTGTTCAAACCTGGTGCTCTACCACTTGAGCCACAGCTCCACTTCTGGCTTTTTGGTCATTAATTGGAGATATGAATCTCATGGAGGGCTGGAAAGGTGGCTCAGTGTTGGGTGCTTGCTTTGCATGCATGAGGAGGTGGGTTCAATTCCTCAGCACCACATAAACAGAAAAGCCTGAAGTGGCGCTGTGGCTCAAGCGGTAGAACGCTAATATTGAGCTGAAGAGCTGAGGGTCAGCGCCCAGGCCCAGAGTTCAGGCCTCACGACTGGACCTCCCCCCCCCCCCAAAAAAAAAAAGAAGCTCATGGACTTAACATCCTGGGCTGGCTTGAACCATGCTCCTAATATTTTAGCCTCCTGGGTAGCTAGGATTATAGACATGAGCCACTGGCACCTGGCAAGAGATATTTAAGAGTAATCAGGAGTCTGGCTATACCCAGAAAATCTAGAAGACTTACTTATCTGTCAAAGTTAATTCAACCTATTTTAGAGTTTTCTTTTTGTTCCCTCCTTAGGAAGGGAAGTTAATAGATGAAGAGAGAGAAAAGCAGGAAACATAAATGCACTCCGTGTATTTATTCTACAAGAAGAGGTGCTTTAAGTACTAGTGTGCTTGCTGATAGCCTGTGGTCGCTCTTAGTCATGTTTGTGCTCTTTAAATATTAGTGAAACTATCTGGGTTTTATGTTTATTTTTTATTTTTCGTTGGTTGTGGGGCTTGAACTCTAGACCTGGGCACTGTCCCTGAGCTCAGCTCAAGGCAAGTACTCTATCACTTGAGCTACAGCACTACTTCCAGTTTTCTGGTGGTTAATTGGAGATAAAGAATTTGACAGACTTTCCTGCCCAGGCTGTCTTTGAACCACAATCCTCAAATCTTATCCTGAGTAGCTAGGATTATAGGTGTGAGCCACTAGCACCCGGCTAGGTTTAAAATGTCTGATTAAAAAATTACTATTATGGGGCTGGGAAGGTGGCTCAGTGGTAGAGCGCTTGCCTTGCATGCATGAAGCCCTGGGTTTGATTCCTCAGCACCACATAAGCAGAAAAAAAAAAAGCTGGAAGTGGCGCTGTTGCTCAAGTGGTAGAGCGCTAGCCTTGAGCTGGAGAGCTGAGGGACAGTGTGCCCAGGCCCAGAGTTCAGGCCCTACAACCAACTAGCCCCCCCCCCAAAAAAAAATACTATGATTATTTGTTTATTTCTGGTATCAATACTGGGGCTTGCCTGAGTGGCTTTCCCTTACTTTTTCAGTCAAGCCTGCTACTCTGCTACTTGAGCCAGAGCTCCACTTCTGGCTTTTTGCTTGTTAATTGGAGATAAGAGTCTCATGTACATTTCTGTGTAGGCTGGTTTTAAGCCATGATTCTCAGATCTCAGCTTCCTGAATAACTAGGATTACAGGCTTGCAGCACAGATCCACAGCAAAATAATATTCTCTTACCTTACATTAGTTAATATGGGGAGGATTTCACGGTTACATTTCCACATGTTCTAATCAGTCTTACCCTACCTATTAGTAACCCAAAATGTTTGCTTTTTAACTTGAAGAGGATGGTATCTCTTGTGAAACTTGGTGTTTTTTGCTTGGGTTTAATTCATTGATCAGACCTTAGATTGTGGATGAGCTTTACTTTTTGTTGGCGAAGGAACGTTTGATTTGTAGATGAGTTTGTTTATTGACTCTTTTGTCTGTCAACCTTTAATTCTAGATACGAGGAATGTCTATTGACCAGGCTCTGGCTCAGTTGGAATTCAGTGATAAAAAGGGCGCCCAAATAATTAAAGAGGTAATAAGCTTGTAAGATTTGGGGGTTGAGGGAGACAGGCATATACAGCTACCTTGCAAGTGTTAATAAGCTCAGTCTGAATTGTGAATTCTGTATTTTTTGGTGGTAATATATACTGTGCCTTAGCCATTGTTATTTGAGAAGGAAGTTCATGGAATACTCCTCTTCAGAACTTTTATCATTTGACAATCACTTTATTTTTTTATTTTTTATTTTTTTGGGTCCCGTCGTGGGGCCTGAACTCTGGGCCTGGGTGCTGTCCCTCAGCTCTTCAGCTCAAGGCTAGAGCTCTTACCACCTGAGCCATACAGCTCCAGTCTCAATTGCTACAACTTTAAACAGAACGTAAAGTCTAATCAGCTTGTTTATTTGTTTATTTATTTTGGAGTTTGTCGTGGGGCCTGAACTCTGAGCCTGGGTACTGTCCCTGAGTTTTCAGCTCAAGGCACGCACTCTACTACTTGAGCCACAGAGCCACTTCAGTTTTGTGGTGGTTTATTGGAGATAAAGTGTCTCATAGACTTTCCCTTCTGGGCTGGCTTTGAACCATGATCCTCAGATCTTATCCTCCTTAGTAGCTAGGATTACAGGCGTGAGCCACTGGCACCCAGCTCAGCTAATTGTTTTTAAGGTTCTTTCTTCTAAATTTTTTTACTATTCCTGTGGATAGAAATGTTGCACCTGTTGGCACAAATTAGCTGTTTCATGGTTTCTGTTTCTTCCTTAGTAAACTTATAGTAAGACTTAAAAATAAATAAAACGTCATTGAGGTTGGAGATGTGACTCAGATGGTAACGTGCTAGCCAATGAGCGAAAGAAAGCATCACATAATGAGATTGAGTCCCAGTCTTGGATTAACAAACCAAACAAAAGAAAAGCAACAAAAAACTCACAACTTTGTCAGGGAAAAAAAGTCTCCAAATATTTCATAGTGTTTTTATTTTATGTGGGAGCATTTTCATTAGGAATTTTGGTAAGCTTACTAAAGTTGGCTTGTTTTTCTTTTCCCATCCTTTTTGCTTTAAGGAAATCTACCACTGTCGAAGACAAATTAAATACAGTAAAGACAAGATGTGGTATCTGGCAAAATTGGTAAGCTAGAATGATTTATTATATAATTCTAAGAAAAATTATAAATTGTACCAGTATTTAAACTATGAAAGCTATTTTCCCATTCCCCCCCAAAGTGGAGCATGTAATTATATATGTTCAAATAATTAGTAGGTTATCAAAATATTATTTTCCAATACAAATATGATTTTGCTTTTTTTTGGCCTATGCACTGTTCATGAGCTTCTTTTGCTCAAGGTTAATTTAGTGCTCTACCACTGAGTCACAGCGCCACTTCCAGCTTTTTCTGTGTATGTATTACTGAGGAATGGAACCCAGGGCTTCATGCATGCTAATCAAGCCATATTCCTAGCCCTCTCACTTTCTTTTTTGTTCAAACCTGGTGCTCTACCACTTGAGCCACAGCTCCACTTCTGGCTTTTTGGTCATTAATTGGAGATATGAATCTCATGGAGGGCTGGAAAGGTGGCTCAGTGGTAGAGTGCTTGCTTTGCATGCATGAGG